ACAAGGTCGTGTTTTTCACATCAATTTTGACCATTTCTCTCGACCACACGAGCTGAAAATCGTGAACCTCGCACCCAGCAAAAGTTTTCCATGTTTTCTTCTGACCGTTTCGTTACAGCACAGGCAAGATGCTGTGCTTAGCTTTGCTTGCTTGCAAGGCGACCAATGGGATAGGCCAGGCTGTGCCTTGCGGTGATCCTTGCGAATGTAAGGCGACCAATGAGACAGGGCGAGAAAATCCAACGCGGCGACGGGGAGAGCGCAGCAGGTACACCCTGCCCCGTCACACTCAACGATGAATAAGGGCGACCAATGAAATGGGCTGGGAATGCCAGCGCCATCTCTGCACGGGGAAAAAACACGGAACAGCGGGAAAACGTGAAAGAGCGGCAAGGAACAGTGAGACTGCCAGCACAGAACACCTCGAGGGCGTTATGTTAAGTTATGTTAAAATCTCTATCACGTTGAGTAGTTTTCTTTATGCAGAAAACTAGACGAGTCAACCATTTAATGCCATTCTACTCCATACATTTCATAGTTCTTCCTGTTTCTTTCAAGATGTGGCCTACCCTTGCAGAAATTTTCTTGCTCTGTTGTTAAAAACAACACATCAGAATCGTGGATGTTCATAGTATTAAAATAAAATGAGCAAAGAACAAACATCAACACTTTGAAATGGGGCAAGTGCTAACAACATGTTCAAGATGTGGAAAAAACATATCAGTAGTCAAAGGAATGGCACCATGTCTCAGCCACAATTGAACAACAAGTCAAGCATCGTTGTCAAAATAGTATCATCAGAGACCTTGTTGTTCAGCAACCAATAGGCAAGAGCATCCTTGTAGTTGAAAGGTTCGACGGCTGCCATGTCAACGGGAGCTTCCTCTCCCATGCCATGGCGAACAAGAGGAACACCGTCCACACCCATGACGGGTATGTCTTCACGTGTCATATGATCAACATCATCACGTAGAAGGCTAGTGTTTTCAGCATTACTACCACTGCTACAAACCCTTAGTTGCATGGAAGATACACCAAAGGACATTGCATCATGGACTACTACTATGACACCAGTGCCCTGAGCATGCATAGGGTTTATAGTGCATGTGCTATGCAAGGCTGAGGATGAGGCAACAGCAGAGGGAACGGGGTTGTTTGGGAGGAGGGATAGGAGAGTGCGTTTGTTTAAGCTCAGGTTTGAATGCAGATACGGCTGAGGATTTATCGCTGTCCTAGTCAGGCATAGGAAACTCATCTGCATAACAAATGGGGTTGGGGACAGACACATTCGGTAAAGATGAGAGAGTGCGGCGGCATGAGTGTGTGAGAGAGATACATTGCGGCAGGTAGTGAGTGAGAGAGAGAGAGAGAGAGAGAGAGAGAGAGAGAGACACAGAGAGAGAGAGAGAGAGAGAGAGAGAGAGAGAGAGAGAGAGAGAGAGCGGGGGAGAGAGAATGCGGGGGAAAGAAAATGCGGGGGAGAGAGAATGCGGGGGAGAGAGAATGCAGGGGAGAGAGAATGCGAGGGAAAGAGAATGCAGGGGAGAGAGAATGCGGGGGAAAGAGAATGCGGGGGAGAGAGAATGCGGGGGAGAGAGAATTGTGAAGAAATGAGGAATGAATGAACTAGGAAAGAGGTGGGTACAAGTAGGAAACCTAGAAATGTTGTACCCCATATTGTCTACCCCACTACAGCCTACACAGACTATAGCATATAAGTTTGACACACCCCCATAGGCAAAGTGGGGGAGAACAAGAGATCACAAGACCAGTCAAGCAAAGCAAAACAAGCTCAGGGTGGATCACAACGTCACCACACATTCCGAGCACAAGAGCAAGGCCACAAGGCCAGTTCACATGCAAGATCATATATAAAGGTAAACAAGCAAGTGCAGGTATAGAAAGATCACAGTACAAGCAAGGTCAAGAAGTGAGTAAGTGAGGCCAAGTAGGCACAAGACATAGCATCGTACAGAAGTGCTGATGATCACAAGGCGGAAGTGCCTTGGTAAAGATATCGCAGTGTTGGCCTCAGAGGCCACGTAAGCCCGGCCGACGGGTAAACGTGGCCAAGTGTCGGCCCGTCCGAGCACACGTACAGTGGATCACCCGCTGACTCGCAGGAGTGAACTGGTCAACCCCCCTATCCTGTAGATCAGCACCACTCACCAAGTTCGTAGAGAACGAAGGGAGGTAGAGACCTGACAGGGTTCCAGAGGGGGCTGCCGGACACGGTAAAACAGTGGAGAAGCGAGCAAGGACAGGACCCCCAGAGGGGTCCGCCAGGGAGACCGCAACCGGTCGACTAAGCGGCGTAAGCGTGGTGCGTTCTCGAAAGAAGGAGCGGGAAGCACCCGAGTCAAGGGTGAAGGTGTGTAAGGCCTGAGCCGACGTGGTACATGAGAGAGCAGACTCACCAGCACCTGGGGCAGCAGACGCACTAGCACCTAGAGCAGCAGCCTCACCAGCACCTAGAGCAGCAGCTTCAATGCCCGGGTCAGGCGGAACACACAGGTAACAGTCACCCTCATCACTAGTAGACACAGCATACATGGCAGCAAGAATAGCATCATAGTCAAGATCAAAGATAGCAACCCCCGCCCTAGACAGCTCTCCCCAGCGAGGGATCTCAGTGCCGTCAGGGAACTGGTGACGCCAAGCGTCCGTCAGGCGGCCAAAGCAGCGCCGGGTGGAGTGCGAGCCCCCGCACTGCTCACCAGCGCGGTCGCCGGTACGGAGGACGTAGGTACAGGGACCAGTACCCCCACCTCGCTGACGCCCAGCGTACCACTCACAAAGCTGCTGGGGGGACGGGGTCTCACGAGTGCGCTGCTGCTGCTGGCGCGGACCACCACCGGAGCCACTCCTCTGTGCAGAGCCGCGACCAGCTCCACCGCCGCCGCCGCCGCCGCCGCCGCCGCCGCCTCCGCCACCTCCGCCGCCTCCGCTCCCACCGCCACCGCCGCCGCCTCCTCCGCCTCCACTGCTGCCACCGACACCTCCACCCCCGCCACCACTCCCACCACCACCCCCACCCCCTCCACTGCCTCCACTGCCACCTCCACCGCCCCCGCCAGCCCCTCCAACGCCCTTGCCCCCCTTGCCCTTGCCGGTGCGACGTCTCCCGCTAGGGGCAGACGCAGCGCCGACCGACTCGAAGCCAACGAGGTCGGCCGCAGCAGCAGCAGCAACAGAGGGCAAGTGGGGGGAGGGGGAACACCCCTCAAAGACGGGGGTACGAGGGTCACCACGAGAGGTTCCTACAGCGACGATGCTCTTCTCTGCTGCCAGGAGGCGCTCCTCGAGGAGGTCAACGGTGAGTGTGGTGGGGCAAACTGAGAGGAAGTGGTCCCTGACTAAGCGAAGGGAGTCAGGGAGCCGGGTGACTATGTAGTAGAGGGTGAGTACAAGGGGGGAGGGTTCTTGGCACAGAACTCAGCAGGAAGCGCAGCGCGGTAGCGAGTGTCACTAGTGCGAAGGTGCGTAATGAGGTCAGCGACTGTGGGAAAGGCAGCAAGGTCAGGGAATAGGTACGGCAGCATGAGGCGGCTAAGAGCAGCAGTGGCAGGGGAAGAGTAGCGTGCAACTACAGCGTCGTAGAAGGTCTTAGCACTCTTGTACTGACTAAAGTGCGCACGCTCAGCGGTCGGTAAGTGACGACGCACAGCAAGACGGGCAGTAGCATCGCGTGTGGCCCACTGTGAGCGAACAGTGCTGTCAGCAGTAGCAGGCGGGGCAGGAGAGGCACCAGAGGTGAGATCAAACAGGGAGAGTCCGTCTGCCCTATCGCACTGTAGGAAGAGCTGGAGGTCATCGACCCAGACCTCAAAGTCAACAGCACGACCCTCAGCATCAAAGGTAAGGACACTGGGGGTAGCCATGACTGCAGTGGTCTAGCAGGGAGTGCTCTCACCAGTCCGGGTGGGTAGGGCCGGTGCTCGCCGGTAGGAACAGTAGCGGCTCGACGGCGGCTCGGCGGCTCGGCGGCTCGGTGGCTCGGCTCGGTGGCTCGGCGGCTCGGCTGCTGGGCGGCTCGGCTGCTGGGCGGCTCGGCTGCTGGGCGGCTCGGCTGCTGGGCGGCTCGGCTGCTGGGCGGCTCGGCTGCTGGGCGGCTCGGCTGTTGGGCGGCTCGGCTGCTGGGCGGCTCGGCTGCTGGGCGGTTCGGCTGCTGGGCGGCTCGGCGGCTCGGCGGTTCGGCTGCTTGGTAGCTGAAGGGGCCGTGAAGGGCGGCGACGGGGCCGCTAGAGCGGCGACGGGGCCGCTAAGGGTGGCGACGAGGCCGCTAGAGGCGGCGACGGGGCCGCGAGGGGCGGCGACGGGGCCGCTAGAGGCGGCGTCGGGGCCGCGAAGGGCGGCGACGGGGCCGCTAGGGGCGGCGACGGGGCCACGAAGGGCGGCGACGGGGCCGCGAAGGGCGGCGACGGGGCCGCGAAGGGCGGCGACGGGGCCGCGAAGGGCGGCGACGGGGCCGCTAGGAGTGGCGACGGGGCCGCTAGGGGCGGCGACGGGGCCGATAGGGGCGGCGACGGGGCCGCTAGGGGCGGCGACGGGGCCGCAAAGGGGCCGCGAGGGGCCTCGAAGGGCGGCGACGGGGCCGCTAGTGGCGGCGACAGGGCCGCAAAGGGGCCGCGAGGGGCCTAGAGGGGGCGGCGACGGGGCCGCGAAGGGGCCGCGAGGGGCCTAGAGGGGCGGCGACGTGGCCGCAAAGGACGGCGAAGGGGCCGTAAGGGGTGGCGACGGGGCTGCTAAGGGTGGCGCGAGGGGCTGTGAGAGGCGACGTGAGGGCGGCCAACGGGGCGCGCCTCGGGCAGGGGCGACTCGCGCTCCGGTTAGGAAAAAAAAAAAAAAAAAAAGTCGATTTCAGTGGTGGGCCCTGAGAAGCGTTCCCACTAGGGAACCTGCTCTATACCATGTGAAGAAATGAGGAATGAATGAACTAGGAAAGAGGTGGGTACAAGTAGGAAAACCTAGAAATGTTGTACCCCATATTGTCTACCCCACTACAGCCTACACAGACTATAGCATATAAGTTTGACAAGAATGCGGGGGAGAGAGGATGCGGGGGAGAGAGAATGCGGGGGAGAGAGAATGCGGGGGAGAGAGAATGCGGGGGAGAGAGAATGCGGGGGAGAGAGAATGCGGGGGACAGAGAATGCGGGGGACAGAGGGTGCGGGGGAGAGAGAATGCGGGGGAGAGAGAATGCGGGAGAGAGAGAGAGAGAACGCAGCAGAGAGAGAGAGAGAGAGAATTTGGCAGAGAGAGAATGCGGGAGAGAGAGAGAGAGAATGTGGGGCAGAGAGAACGCGGGGGAGAGAGAATGCGGGGGAGAGAGAATGCAGGGGAGAGAGAATGCGGGGGAAAGAGAATGCGGTGGAGAGAGAATGCGGGGGAGAGAGAATGCGGGGGAGAGAGAATGCGGGGGAAAGAGAATGCGGGGGAGAGAGAATGCGGGGGAGAGAGAATGCGGGGGAGAGAGAATGCAGGGGAGAGAGAATGCGGGGGAAAGAGAATGCGGGGGAGAGAGAATGCGGGTGAGAGAGAATGCGGGGGAGAGAGAATGCAGGGGAGAGAGAATGCGGGGGAAAGAGAATGCGGGGGAGAGAGAATGCGGGGGAAAGAGAATGCGGGGGAGAGAGAATGCGGGGGAGAGAGAATGCGGGGGAGAGAGAATGCGGGGGAGAGAGAATGCGGGGGAGAGAGAATGCGGGGGAAAGAGAATGCGGGGGAGAGAGAATACGGGGGAGAGAGAATGCGGGGGAGAGAGAATGCAGGGGAGAGAGAATGCTGGGGAAAGAGAATGCGGGGGAGAGAGAATGCGGGTGAGAGAGAATGCGGGGGAGAGAGAATGCAGGGGAGAGAGAATGCGGGGGAAAGAGAATGCGGGGGAGAGAGAATGCGGGGGAAAGAGAATGCGGGGGAGAGAGAATGCGGGGGGGAGAGAATGCGGGGGAGAGAGAATGCGGGGGAGAGAGAATGCGGGGGAGAGAGAGTGCGGGGGAGAGAGAATGCGGGGGAGAGAGAATGCGGGGGAAAGAGAATGCGGGGGAGAGAGAATGCGGGGGAGAGAGAATGCGGGGGAGAGAGAATGCGGTGGAGAGAGAATGCGGGGGAGAGAGAGTGTGGGGGAGAGAGAATGCGGGGGAGAGAGAATGCGGGGGAAAGAGAACGCGGGGGAGAGAGAACGCGGGGGACAGAGAATGCGGGGGACAGAGGGTGCGGGGGAGAGAGAATGCGGGGGAGAGAGAATGCGGGAGAGAGAGAGAGAACGCAGCAGAGAGAGAGAGAGAGAGAGAGAGAGAGAGAGAGAGAGAGAGAGAATTTGGCGGAGAGAGAATGCGGGAGAGAGAGAGAGAATGTGGGGCAGAGAGAATGCGGGGGAGAGAGAATGCGGGGGAGAGAGAATGCAGGGGAGATAGAATGCGGGGGAAAGAGAATGCGGTGGAGAGAGAATGCGGGGGAGAGAGAATGCGGGGGAGAGAGAATGCAGGGGAGAGAGAATGCGGGGAAAGAGAATGCGGGGGAGAGAGAATGCGGGGGAGAGAGAATGCAGGGGAGAGAGAATGCGGGGGAAAGAGAATGCGGGGGAGAGAGAATGCGGGGGAAAGAGAATGCGGGGGAGAGAGAATGCGGGGGAGAGAGAATGCGGGGGAGAGAGAATGCGGGGGAGAGAGAATGCGGGGGAGAGAGAATGCGGGGGAGAGAGAGTGCGGGGGAGAGAGAGTGCGGGGGAGAGAGAATGCGGGGGAGAGAGAATGCGGGGGAGAGAGAACACGGGGGAGAGAGAATGCGGGGGACAGAGAATGCGGGGGAGAGAGAATGCGGGGGAGAGAGAGAGAACGTAGCAGAGAGAGAGAGAGAGAATTTGGCGGAGAGAGAATGCGGGAGAGAGAGAGAGAATTTGGCGGAGAGAGAATGTGGTAGAGAGAGGGAGAGTGAGAGCAGCAGAGAGAGGGAGAGCGAGAGCAGCAGAGAGAGGGAGAGCGAGAGGAGCAGAGAGAGGGAGAGCGAGAGCGGCAGAGAGAGGGAGAGCGAGAGCTGCAAATAGACAGGGGTAGAGCGAGATGGAAAGAGAGCGACATATGCAGAGGGAGAGAGGGAGAGAAGCAGAGTGAGAAAGAGAGCAATATATGCAGAGGAAGAAAGAGAGAGACATAGACGTTGCGACAGAAAGAGAGCGGCATTGGTAAAGCGAAATAGAGCAACCTAGGCAGATCCATAACAATAGCGCGACATAGGCAAACCTGGAGAGAGAGCGACATATGCACGCAAGAATGGGTGCGACGTTGTCAGAGAGAGGTAAATACAGTGACAAATGCAGAACGAGAAAGAGAGCGAATTCACAAAGTGGGGAGAGAGAGAGACGTTGACAGCGAGAGAGAAAGAGAGCAACATACGCCGAGCGATAGAACGAAAGCGACATAGCAAGAGACATGGGAATATAGCGACAGAGAGAGACAGAGGTCGACAGGGAGAGAGAGCGAGAATGGGAATATAGCGAGAGAGAGAGAGAGAGACATAGACCGAGGGGGAGAGAGAGCGAGAGACTTAGGCTGAGAGAGAGAGAGATATATAGAGATACATGACGCGATCACCATGAGAAGAGGGAAGCACTTGAAAGGGAGAGTGGGAACACGGCGATTAAAGGGCATACCTTTACTGGTTGTAGACGTCTTGTACTTCCGCTAAACCCGATGTCGCCTCCTCACGACCAAGTGATATCTTCAACGCCTCCGCATACGCGTCCTCTATGAGCTGGGCGAGTCGCTGCGAACCCTGATGTCGCAGTGCGTCCGTGTAGCCGCGGCAACGCTGTCGCTAATGCGGGGTCGCTTCTGGAACTGATCTTGAGCTTACTGCTAGAAATTCACGACTTTGAAGCTGTAGTTGTTCACCCACGAGTGTCGTCGCATGCGGCGGCGACGCTTTGTCGCCCCGAACAGGTCACTGATGCGCGCTTTCGCCTGGGGACCCGCGCGTCTACTATTGTGGTGGTGTCGGCTTGGTGAGGCCGCTGCTGAATCTGTTGCCAATGTAGCCGTTTGTTGCGCTCACGCCGAAACTCCCCGCACGCGCTTGGATTTCGTCGAAGAGGGTACAGGTTTCTTAGGCGACGGAGCACCCCGTGGCGCCGCCAATCGCGCTAAATGACCGAGTCGCGTTTGTCCCTGGGCGCCATAGACGCAGCTGCTGCTGAAGGCGTCGCACCTAAATAAAGTGCTCTGTTCAGTTGTTGCGTTACAGAGGCTTAGTAGGATGCAGGGGTTTGAATGCACGGTCGCCAAGTAGACTGCTTTGACAACGTCGAGTGAATTCATCGAATTCTTAGAGTCCGCCAGCAGGAATTTTAGGTTTTTTTTTTTAAGCAAATGGCTAGCACCAGCTGGGTAGTAGTTGCAGCCGTTCTTATCGACCAGTGCCATTTTCTTCCTGTTTTGAAGACTGATACACGCGCTCATGTGGTCTTTCCTTCCTGTCGCTAAGTACTATGTATTTACTAGTATACCTATTTCGTCGCTTTGTTAGTACTACTAGATCGTTATAACCTCTAAGCTTTGCTCCCGTGGATTTTCTCCAGGCGGCGTGCTGCTCTCGTCGGCGGTTCCTGGAGAGCAGAGTCGGCGGCGAGAAAGGCGCGCGGCGCGAGCCGGGGTTCGCCTTGCTGGGCGCGCCGTAGATTTGCAGGCAGTGGCCCACTTTTGATCCCTCTCCATCCCTCCCTCTCCCCACATTTCCGGCCCCCTTTTCCCCCTCCCTTTTCTTCTCCTGCTCTCTCCCCACCGCAGATGAAAGAAAGGAAGCGGCGGGTTACTCTCCTTCCCCGCATTTGATCTTGCTGCACGCGTGTATCGAGTTGGTTGGTCAAGCACGGACTGATTGCAACAACGGCTCTGCAATCAGACCTCGCCACGTGGCAGCACATCTACATCAGTAGTCGCCTCCACAGGCCTCTACTGCTGCTTTGCTGTGGGGCTCCCTGCCTTGCCTTTCCCCGACTAAGCCCTCCCTTTCACACATGTGCAAATGCATGCGCACCATACACACAAGCAAGCATGCATGGTAACAACTCGCTTTGCGCACCTGCGCTACCCACCAGCTCTATTCCTGTCTGCTCACGTTTTTTGCTAGTAGCATCGCTTGCTTTTTATAAGGTGAATAAAAAAAGAACAATCAATGCTGCATTTAAGTTCCGGTATGTTGGTGGGTGTGCAGGTGGAGATTCTTATCCCTCATGATCACACTCTCTCGTTACAATCGCACAACCTGCGAGCAGCTGTGGCACTTTATCTGCCCTCGCCATATCAGCATGAGCTGTACGAGGCGATTTGCAGCATCTCAGCAAGGTATGTGCGGGCAGGTATGTGTGTGTGCGGGCAGGTATGTGTGTGTGTGGGCAGGTATGTGTGTGTGTGGGCAGGTATTTGTGTGCTGGCTGGCAGGTACTTGTGTGTGGGCAGGTATTTGTGTGCTGGCTGGCAGGTACTTGTGTGTGGGCAGGTATTTGTGTGCTGGCTGGCAGGTACTTGTGTGCTGGCTGGCAGGTATTTGTGTGCTGGCTGGCAGGTACTTGTGTGTGGGCAGGTATTTGTGTGCTGGCTGGCAGGTACTTGTGTGTGGGCAGGTATTTGTGGGCTGTCAGGTGGGGTGTGCTGTCAGGTGGGGTGTGCTCTTCTTCCCAGCCCTCCTCCCTCCCAACCCTCGCCCATATCAACCTCTCTCACAACCCGCTTCCACTCTCCCCACTCGCCCACATCGATGCCTCTCGTGCCTCTGTGCTGCTGCCACTCGCCTCTCTTCCCTCGCTGCGCTCTTTGCAAGTAAGTGCGGTGCTGCTGGGTGCTGGTGGGTGCTGCTGGGTGCTGGTGGGTGCTGCTGTGTGATGGTGGGCGTGGCTGGTTCCGGTGGTGCTGCTTTGTGCTGATCAGAGCAGTGAGGGGAACTTTGCATTGCTGCCCTTCGCCTCGCTTCCCTCACTGCCCCACCTCCCCTGTCTCCCCTCCCTCGCTCTCACCCTGATGTAACCTTAACACGCGTGATCATGCTCTCCCCTTGTTCGACCCTCCTTCCCTCTGCTTTCCTCCCTCCCTTCTCCTCCCTTTCTGCCCTCCTCCCCTCTGCTCTCATCCCCTTCTTCTCTCCGCCCTCCCTTCTCCTCCCTTTCTGCCCTCCTCCCCTCTGCTCTCATCCCCTTCTTCTCTCCGCCCTCCCTTCTCCTCCCTTTCTGCCCTCCTCCCCTCTGCTCTCATCCCCTTCTTCTCTCCGCCCTCCCTTCTCCTCCCTTTCTGCCCTCCTCCCCTCTGCTCTCATCCCCTTCTTCTCTCCGCCCTCCCTTCTCCTCCCTTTCTGCCCTCCTCCCCTCTGCTCTCATCCCCTTCTTCTCTCCGCCCTCCCTTCTCCTCCCTTTCTGCCCTCCTCCCCTCTGCTCTCATCCCCTTCTTCTCTCCGCCCTCCCTTCTCCTCCCTTTCTGCCCTCCTCCCCTCTGCTCTCATCCCCTTCTTCTCTCCGCCCTCCCTTCTCCTCCCTTTCTGCCCTCCTCCCCTCTGCTCTCATCCCCTTCTTCTCTCCGCCCTCCCTTCTCCTCCCTTTCTGCCCTCCTCCCCTCTGCTCTCATCCCCTTCTTCTCTCCGCCCTCCCTTCTCCTCCCTTTCTGCCCTCCTCCCCTCTGCTCTCATCCCCTTCTTCTCTCCGCCCTCCCTTCTCCTCCCTTTCTGCCCTCCTCCCCTCTGCTCTCATCCCCTTCTTCTCTCCGCCCTCCCTTCTCCTCCCTTTCTGCCCTCCTCCCCTCTGCTCTCATCCCCTTCTTCTCTCCGCCCTCCCTTCTCCTCCCTTTCTGCCCTCCTCCCCTCTGCTCTCATCCCCTTCTTCTCTCCGCCCTCCCTTCTCCTCCCTTTCTGCCCTCCTCCCCTCTGCTCTCATCCCCTTCTTCTCTCCGCCCTCCCTTCTCCTCCCTTTCTGCCCTCCTCCCCTCTGCTCTCATCCCCTTCTTCTCTCCGCCCTCCCTTCTCCTCCCTTTCTGCCCTCCTCCCCTCTGCTCTCATCCCCTTCTTCTCTCCGCCCTCCCTTCTCCTCCCTTTCTGCCCTCCTCCCCTCTGCTCTCATCCCCTTCTTCTCTCCGCCCTCCCTTCTCCTCCCTTTCTGCCCTCCTCCCCTCTGCTCTCATCCCCTTGTGTTCTTCTTCCCTCTGCCCCCCCTCGTTTTCTCCCCTACATCATCGTGTGCCCCTCTCGACCTCCCCAGGTAGACCTAGAAGGCCCTTTCCTTTTTTACCCATACAACAGAGCATCCACTCTCCCCCACCTCTCCTCCCACCCCGCTGCAACCTTCCTCCCTCCCTCTCCCCTCCTCCCCTCTCCCTCTCCCCTCCTCCCCGTCCCTCTCCCCTGTCTTTTCCAGGTAGACCTAGAAGGCCCCTTCCCCTTCGATCCATACAACACCGCATCCACTCTCCCCCGCCTCTCCTCCCTCAACGGAGCTCTGCTCTCCTCCTTCATGCGGGGAGGTTCCTGGATGTTTCCTCGCCTGCCAGCCTGGCAGCCCGGCACGCCATTGGTGGATCGAGTGCTGCATGCCATGTGGCGCCACGTGTGCAGCTACAAGCTCGCCACTGAAACACAGCTGGATGAGAGTGCTGTGTGGTGAGTATTAGAGCACCGCACCACACTTTACTGCACCGCACTGCACTGCACCGCGCTGCACTGCACAGCACTGCGCTGCATTGCAGTGCTTTGCACCAATTGTCCAAGCACTGTCTAGGCTTGCTCGGTGCTGCTGCATGCCATGTGGCACCACGAGTGCAGCTACAAGCTTGCTACTGAAACTTAACTGGACCACAGTGTGGTGTAGTGAGTGAGGGAGTATCCATGCACCGGATTGCACTGCCACTGCACCGCACTGCACTGTATTTGGCCCGAATGACCAAGCCGTAACTAGGTATGCGCTGGGTGCTGCATGCCATGTGGCGCCGCGTGTGCTGCTACAAGCTCGCGACCAAGACACAGCTGGACTAGAGTGCAGTGCAGTTTGGTGAGTGGGTATGCTTGCACCGCACTTCACCGCACTGCACTGCACTGCACTGCACTGCATCTAGTCCAACACTCCAAGTGACCGAGCAGAGCAGTGACTCGGTCTGCTGGATGGATGCTGCATGCCTGTGGTGCAGCATCCATCCAGCAGACCGAGTGGTGCACACCATGAGTTCCTTATCCTCTTTCCATGCAAGAACATGTTATGACTTATCCCCTTCTCCCGCCAAGTCCTTTTTCCACCCTTACACCCCTTCTTCCCCTCTCTCTCCCCAACCCCTTCACTCCCCCCTCCCCCCACTCCTCCCCCCCTACACACCCATCACACCTTCCACTCCAACCCCACATATCCCCCTCACTCCCCGCATTCCTCCCGCTCCCGCCACTCCCCTCCCGACACCCATCAGGTACGTGATGGACGAGTTCGGCAGTGCCTGCTTCCGGCACAGCGACCGACCCAAGTTCCTCTTGTTTCCCTCTTTACGCCCCTCCCATAAGCCCTCACACTCCCCACCATCATCACCCCACTCTCCCCCACTCTGTCCCTTCCCTCGCCCTCCTTCCCCCAACACCCACCCACCAGGTACGTGATGGACGAGTTCGGCAGTGCCTTCCATCACAGCACCTCAGTAACTCAGTTCATGTTGCTATGCCCTCTCCCCACTTATCCCCTCCTTGTCTCTCCCTTCCCCCCTCCCACCCATCAGGTACGTGATGGACGAGTTCGGCAGTGCCTTCCGTCACAGCGACCGACCCAACTTCCGCTGTGCGCCCTTCCTCTTCCTGCCGGATGGCTCCTTCGCCTCTGCTCTCAGGTGAGTGGGCGTGTGGGGGTGTGCTCTCAGGTGGGGGGGGTGTACTCTCAGGTGGGGGGGATGTGTTCTCAGGTGGGGGGGGTGTGCTGTCAGGTGTTTTTTAGTAAGGTGTTTTCAGGTGGGTCACCCTTCTTCTTCTCTCTGTTCGGTCACCCATGTCCTCCCTACTCCCCCCCTCCGGCTACTCCATCGTGTGGCCGCTGGCAGCAGTGCAGGCTGGAGAGGAGTGCACGAGGGACTATCTTGCGGGGGTGGGGGGGGGGGGGGTATTTGCCACATATTCTGATATTCAGCGTTCCAGCTATTCTCACACATCGCCCCTCTTTCTGCCCTCCCTGGCCCTGCCCTGCCCCTCCCTCACCTCCCCCCCTCCAGCTACTCCATCTTGTGGCCGGTGGCAGCAGTGCAGCCGGGGGAGGAGTGCACGAGGGACTATCTCGCCGGGGTGGGGGAGGAGCAGCAGCGCTCACCCAAGCTGTGCGTGTGGTTCCACACGCCCTCAAGCGCCTTCCACCAAGTATGGCTATTCTTTTATCTCACTTTCCTAGTCACATTCAAGGGCAGCGCTCGACTTTTGAGTCGACTCAAAAGCGCTCACCCAAGCTGTCCGTGTGGTTCCACACGTGCAGCAAGTATACAGTCTCTGCTCTCTCCCTTTTCTGTTCGATGCTAAGGGCACACATCTCTGCGGTTCTACAAACCCCCTCCACCTGCTTCCAGCAAGTTAAGCACCTGTTGTTTTGAGTTCGCAATGCCCCTCCACTCCCTCCTCTCGTCACACAACTCCTCTCACCGCACACACAACCCATCTCGTACCACCCGGCTCCCCACCCCTAGCCTAAAACCAGCACCTATGCAAGTTCGCATCACACCTCCTCTCCCCTCCCTTCAGCCCTCATCATCTCATCACACTCCCCACTCCCCATCTCACCATTTCCATCCCACCCCAACCCAGGCATACGAGCGGTGCCTGTGCAGGTTCGCAGCACACTCCTCACTCCCCCTTCACCTCCCACCGCCGCATTCCCCACTTCCCACTCCCCGTCTCACCCATTTCCACCCCATCCCACCCCAACCCAGGCTTATGAGCAGCGCCTGTGCAGGTTCGCAGCAGCAGCCACAAAGCACGCAGAAGCTACCGCTCTCCTTGCCTCTACTGCATCCGACAATAAAGAGGACAAGGGAGGAGAAGGAAAGGCGAGTGAATCGGCAGACAAACCGGAGAGAACAGAATTGGAGAAGCGGGTGTATCGAGTGTTCACGGATCTGCCCTATGTCACTGACAACCTCTCCCGCCCCGAGTTTACTTTTGGTGAGCTCTGGTGGGGCAAGCGGAAGAAAGGAGGGGCTAGCAGAGGAAGCGCGTGCATCGAGTCTTCGGCAATCTTCCCTATGGCCGTGACACACAATAGGTCATTCATCATGTCGCGCCCTCTACCTCTCACCCTTATCTATCTTTCGAATATGTCAGTGTCTTTCATTTGTGAGGCACCTGAAAGGTCTTTGAGTCATTGTGTAGCTCTCGAGTATGTATTCCTATCATGTGTACATGTAGCCTTTGCACACCCAGCTTTCTTGTCCTCTCTTGCGCTGCACTGTCGTTTGGTGCTGGGCCGTGTTTTTTTAACTTAGCCTGGCATACTCCCATCCCATGCACATGCACTGCTACCAACCACTCAAAGCGGGAAATTAACTTGCTCACCCTGTGTATCAAATCAAATGGCCAAGCGCACATTATGTTTCACACAATGTGCTCGCTTCATGCTCATGATAATTTTAATTCCACCCGGCCATTCATGCGGGTGGACGAGGCGTTTCGAGAGGCAACTGGGTTGAAGGAGAGGAGGAGCAAAGGAGAGCCAACTGGGCGGCTGGAGGTGTGAATCTTCATGCACGTGTTAACCCTCTCTCCCAAACAACCCCCAATCCTCAAACCGCCCCCCCTCCCCCAGTGGACACCCCCAGCGAGGCGGACATCATCTGGACGAGCATGCAGGTGGACGATGCGTTCAGAGAGGCGGCTGGGCTGAAGGGGAGAAGGGAGAAGGGCGGGCCAGAGCCGCTTGTGAACCAGTTCCCGTTTGAGGCATGCATTGTCATGAAGCATCACCTGGCGAAGACCATACAGCAGGTGCGTGGTGGAGACACAGGGAGGGCGGGGAGGGCCAAGGTAAGGCCAAGGGAGGGCAGGAGCCATTTGTGAACCACTTTCCATTTGAGGCATGCATTGTGATGAAACATCATCTGGCGAGGACCATCCAGCATGTGGGATGCGGTACGAATGGGTTACCAACTTGCTTGTTCTACAGTCGTTTGAGGCACGCATTGTGATGAAGCATCACCTGGCGAGGACGATCCAGTAGGTGCGTGGTGGAGGGGCAAGGGAGGGTGAGGAGGGCAGGGAGGGCAAAGAGGGCAGGGAGGGCAAAGAGGGCAAGGAGGGCAAGGGCCGTGTTCATATGCAGTCAGCATCATCTGCCATGTTGTTAGCAAAATACAGTCAGCTAACCCTTTGCTCCGATACGCCAGATACTCGTTGCTTGCTGCCGGCTCAGTCTCCACGCATGCATGCATGCAGAGGAGTTTGCTCTGGTGCAAGGGCACGATAATCAATACTCTTATTGGACGACAAGCGATACATTAGCGGCAAGGTAAGCACATGTTTTAAGGGCAAAGCAAGCAGTACTATAACGAAAAATCAGTATTACTCTAAGGGCATGATAAGTTATACGCCATATAGTTTTTGCTTGTTGCTTTGGTCGCCGTGCGTGTGTATATGCCATATATGGGGGAACGATATGCTATACTTAAGGGTTCTCCTCGTGCCATACATCCCATACATGCAGTCAGAGCGAGCAGCACTGATGGGGTGCTGCATGTTCTCCTTTCGCACGCATGTGGGCTTCATAGCTTGCTCTTCTCCCGCTTTTGCGTGCAGTCACACGGCAACACGCGCCCCTGGTTACAAGACAATTTCGGCTTGTACCCGGAGAGAAGCAACATTGACATGGTGCCGTATGCTCTCCAGGTTCACCACCTTCACGAATGCCGCCCTACACACGTGTGTGTGATACTCTTTGCTACTCGCTCCTTGTGCAGGCATATGGCAACAACACGCGCCTCTGGCTTCAAGGCACCTACAACATGCACTCAAGGCTGGCAGCGCGGATGGAATGCTGTATGGATGTGTGTTCTCCCTGTTATGCTGGTGCTTGATCTCCTCTTCCCCTCCTCTTCCTCTTCCTCTTCTACTTCTCCGCTCTTGCTCTTGCGTGCAGGCATACGGCCACATGCACGCACCCCTGGCTGCAAGATACATACGATATGCACTCAGAGCTAGCAGCGCTCATATGATGCTGTATTGTATGTGCCCCTGGCTACAGGACTCATGCAACATGCAGTCGGAGGAGATTCCATGGCAGCGAAATCGTGGCATCTTCTATGCTCTCCCTCACATGCCTGTGCTTGTGTCGCTGTCGCTCTGCTGTTGTTTTGCTCCTGCATGCAGGCATACGGCAACACGCGCCCCTAGCTACAGGACACATACGACATGCAGTCGGAGATGGCAGCGCTGATAGGGTGCTTCAAGGGGAGGGAGGCGGCAGCTGCTGCTGCTGCAGGGAAGCGGTTGACTGCCAGCTACGGAGGCAATGAGGCACCTGAGAGCGATGCAGGTAGGGCGTTGTGAACAGGCAAGGTGGATGGCCTTGGATGCTGATAGGGAGCTTCCAGCAGAGGGAGGCGGCTGCTGCTGCTGCTGCCGGGAGGCGAGTGATAGCCAGCTATGCGGGCCGTGAGGCTGCTCAGAAGAGTGAAGGTAAGAGCGCCGTGAGTAATGAATGAAGACATGTCAGGCATGCGATGGGAACTGGCAGCGCTGATAGGGTGCTCTCAGCAGAGGGAGGCGGCGGCTTCTGCTGCTGCTGCTGCTGCTGCTGCTGCTGCTGTTGCTGCTGCTGCTGCTGCTGCTGCTGCTGCTGGTGGTGGTGGTGGTGGTGGTGGTGGTGGTGGTGGTGGTGGTGGTGGGGGTCAAGTGATTTGCAGCTATGAGGACCGTGAGGCGGCTCAGAAGGTAGGTGGGTGTGCTGTGCACAATGAATGAAAAAATGATTGAATTAGTGAGTGAGTGAGTGAGTGAGTGGGGGAGTGAGTTAGTGAGGGAGTGAGAGAGGGAGTGAGTGAGTGAGTGAGTGGGTGCATGAGTGAGGGAGTGAAAGAGTGAGTGAGGGAGTGAGTGCATGAGTGTGTGAGTGAATGAGTGAGTGAGTGAGTGAATTTGTGAGTGAGCGAGTGAGCGAGTGAGTGAATGAGTGTGTGAGTGAGCGATACCCTTTATCTCTTCCTCTTCTCACTGCACTGTCCCCCACTCATTCGCATTGCTCCTCAGACCTCTCACATCCCCGTCTCCCCCAGTTTACCCCACAGACCCTGATCTCGCATATGGATGCCCCATGCCCTCCCCCCTGTCCCACTGCACTCTCTTCCTCCCCACCCCCCGCCCTCTCATTCCCCCGCCCCCCTCCACCCCACAGACCCCAATCTGGACAACACGTGGATCTTAAAGCCGTGGAATCTCGCGCGCAGCATGGATGCAACAGTGTCGCGCCACCTGGCGCAGATCGTACGGCTGGCAGAGACCGGGCCGAAGGTCTGCCAGAAGTACATCTCCCGCCCCGCGCTCTTCCACGGGCGCAAGTTCGACCTGCGGTTCCTGCTGCTGCTGAAGAGGCTTAAACCGCTCGAGGCATACCTCTCCGATGTGTTCTGGGTGAGTGAGTTGACGGGAGGAAGTGGGTTGGGTGGAATGCTGCTTGCCTGCTGCCTGCTGAGCTCTTCCACAAGAGGAAGTTTGACCTGCGCTTCCTGCTGCTGCTCAAGCGGCTGAAGCCGCTGGAGGCATATTTCTCAAACGTGTTCTGGGTGAGTGGTATGTCTGGCTGCTGCCTGCTGGTTGGTGGGTGGTTGCTTGAAGCGTCCCACAGCAAGGCAGACACTGGGCCGAAGGAGACGCCGGGCCAAGGCAGGGCAGAGAGCGGCCCCAAGGTCTGTCAGAAGTACATCTCCCACCCCGCGCTCTTCCACGGGAGAAAGTTCGACCTGCACTTCCTGCTGCTGCTCAAGCGGTTGCGGCCCTTGGAGGCTTATCTCTCCGACGTGTTCTGGGTGAGTTGGCTGACATACTGCTGTTGGCTGCTTGCTGCTTGCTGCGGGCTGGCTGGCTGGTGCTGGTGTGAGAGGCCTCACGTCACGGCAAGGCAGAGGCCAGGCTAAGAGGGAGGCCGGACTCCCTCAAGGCAGAGAGGGGCCCCAAGGTCTGTCAGAAGTACATCTCCCGCCCCGCGCTCTTCCACGGGCGCAAGTTCGACCTGCGCTTCCTGCTGCTGCTCAAGAAGCTGAGACCCCTTGAGGCGTACCTCTCAGACGTTTTCTGGGTGAGTGGGGTCGGGTGGGTTGCTGCTTGTTGGGCTGCGGCCCTTGCTGCCTGTTGAGTGTTGGCTGTGGTGCTCTTCCACGGGAGGAAGTTCGACCTGCGCTTCCTGCTGCTGCTCAAACGGCTTAAACCGCTCAAGGCATACCTCTCCGATGTGTTCTGGGTGAGTTGATGCTCGATGGCTGCTTGCTGCTCTTCCACGGGAGAAAGTTCGACCTGCGCTTCCTGCTGCTACTGAAGAGACTCAAGCCATTGGAGGCATATCTCTCTGATGTCTTCTGGGTGAGTCGAGTTGTTGGGTGAACCCAGGGTTTTGGTGCTTGCTGCTGGGTGCTGGCCGGTGTTGGTGTGTGGCGCCCACAGCAAGGCAGAGACTGGGCCAAATCATGGGCATTAGGTGGAGGCAAGCCAAGGCAGAGAGCGGCCCCAAGGTCTCAACTTTTGAAGCGGCTCCAAAGACTCGCCCTGTGCCTCCCCTCTCTTGCGTGCTTCATGTGACTCACCCCTCTTCTCTTTGCTTTCTCCACCAGGCTCGCATCGCCAACAAAAAGTATTCGCAAGCAGAGGACTCGCTGTTGGACTTCCAGACACATTTCACTGTCATGGTGAGGTGTCAAGTTGTGTGGTGTGGTGTGGTGCGGTGTGGTGTTGTATGGTGTGGTGTGGTGTGGTGGGGTGTGTTGTGGTGTAGTGCGGTGATGGTGTGGTGTGGTGCGGTATGGAACTGCTTCTTCTCCATTTATAACATGTCATCACAGTACTAATTCATGCATAAGACATGACTATGGTACTTGTGACTCACCATATTCCTTGTTCACACACTAACACACACACACACACACACACACACACACATGCATGCACGCGCACACATGCATGCACGCGCGCATGCACACACACACACACACACACACGCCCGCATGAACCTGTGTGTCTGATATGTCCCCATCCTCCCATCCCTCTGTCCATCCTCCACTCCCTCTTTCCATTTCCACGTCCCCACGTTTTCTCTCATCATATCTACAGCGGTTACAAGTATGAGGACATGCTTTTGTTGACGTGCCATACTCTCCCCTGTCTCCCTCTCTCCATCCTCCCTTCCCTCTCTCCATCCTCCCCTCTCTTTCTCTCCATCCTCCCCTCTCCCTCTCTCATCAGAACTACAGCGGTCACAAGTACGAGCACGTGCCAACACACGAGTTTGTGCAGGCATTTGAGCAGGAGCACAGTGGTATGGATGGTGATGACGTGGTATGGATGGGTGACGTGGTATGGTTGGGTGATGACGTGGTATGGATGGTGATGACGTGGTATGGATGGGTGATGACGTGGTATGGATGGGTGATGACGTGGTATGGATGGTGATGACGTGGTATGGATGGGTGATGACGTGGTATGGATGGCTGATGACGTGGTATGGATGGGTGATGACGTGGTATGGATGGTGATGACGTGGTATGGATGGGTGATGACGTGGTATGGATGGGTGATGACGTGGTCTGATATGTATGGGGGTTGTCCCCTGGTCATGGCATGGTGTGGATGGGGAGTGACATGGTGACAGGCTTTGCTTGATGGATGCAGTGCATTTGCAGCCCGCTACTAGCACATGGCACCATGTGCTAAGGAGAACTCATCTTCGCTCTCCATTTCTTTTGCTCTTCAAACCCTCCCCCCTCCGCTCCCCCCTGCCCTCCTCCGCTTTCAGCAGCTTTACTTACACAGCTTTCCTCCCAAATTTCGTTTTCTTTAAATCTCCTTCCCCAACTTCCTTTCTGCCCGCCTCTGTCCATTTCGCATGCTTGCTGCAACAGTGACGTGGCAGTCCATTGACCAATCAGTGCAGAGAATGTTACGGGAGCTGCTGGCGGCAGCTGTCACTGTTCATCCTGAGATGCAACCAGATGACGACACCTGTCGAGCAATCTACGGTGTGGATGTGATGCTGGATGATCACTTCCAACCCAAGCTTCTAGAGGTTAGTCGTGCAATTTTCCCCTCATTTCTTGGTATTGACCATCCTTGTGCCCCACTTTACGTGGTTTGATCATGGTTTTATCCCTCCATATGTTAATTTATGGCATACCTGCATATGTTATGTGTTCATGTGGTCGTGTACAGGTAACATACTGCCCGGACTGCACGCGTGCTGTGACGTATGACATGAAGAGGATTTTCCCAAGACCTAGTACCGGCTCGGATGGCAACAGAGAAGCAGAAGATGAATCCGCGTGGCTGCGACCCAAAAGCCTTTTCAACGACGTGTTTGGATGCCTCTTTCTTGGAGAAACCCAGAATGTGCGGCGCTTGTAAAACCTTCACTTCATGGTGCCGGTTATGAAACTCTTTGGCCGACTAGAAAAAAACATATCATCCAATTCTGTGTTTACACTGCAGCACCAATACGTGGGAGGGAGGGAGCCTTTCACCCAGTGCTGGGCATAATGAAATTCTTGTTGCGTTGAAACTTCTCTGGTCACGCTAAGTCCCCAATGAACCCCGCTCACAAACTGCGTTCATTATGGTAAGGTAAGCTTTTCTACTTTGGTTTCCATGCATCCTGAACCACATGCTTTCATTCAACGAATCAAGCAGTGGCCATTCTTTCTGACATCTTCCTTAAACGGCCAGCAGCACACTACCGTATTGTGGATTGAGGCTGCTGTGATTCTGTAATCAGTGCACATAACTAATTCAATTCTGAACAAGAACTTGATTGGCTATTGCAGTACCATGTGCCATAAATGGTTCTAAGCACAGGTAAGCAGCGGGGTTCCACACGAATTGCCGTTCCCTTGTTTGCCCAGCTCACTCACAGCTGCTAGCCCAGGACAGCCCCTGACAGCTGGCAGTTTTGTGAATGTAAAATCAAAATAACAACAAGGACAGGCAGGCAGCGATTTCCCACACAAGTTGTGATTTCCTGGTTTGAACAAGCCTCTTGCTTCAATCTGCTCGGAGCAGCCGAAACAGCCCCTGACTCTCGGCTCTCTGCCAGTGTCCTATCGAATTGGTTCTATGAACAGGCCGGCAGCGGGGAACCACACAAATCGGGGTTGCCTGGCTTAAACGCGCCTCGCTTTAGCTTGCTCAGAGCAGCTGGAACAGCCCCTGACAGCCGATTTCCCGCCAGCTGCACTTGCTGTACCCTTGCTGGCCAAACCGTGGGTATTTTCCCCGATACTCGGTTATATGACAACCCGAGTCCCTGCAACCATTTCATGTTGCTCACACCTGCGGGGATTGTTCCTGTGAGGGCGTTCTTGTCAAGGGTCAGAAGCTTGAGGCGGGTAAAGGAGCTGACTGTAGTGGGAATGGGGCCGGAGAGGCGGTTGGAGGAGAGGTAAAGATGGGCGAGGGAGGCGGAACAGGAGGGGGGGGAGAGTGGGGTGGGCGGGCCGGAGAGGGCGTTGGAGGCGAGATTGAGGATGGTGAGGGCCTGCTTGTCCTGGCAGAAGGCGGGGATGGGGCCTGTGGGGTGGGGGACGAACAAGGAGATAAGAGACGGGTCTTGATGGGCCTGGCAGATTTAGGGTTGGGGATGGCGGGGGCTTGATGGGCCTGAAAGGAGGAATTGGGGCCTGCAGTGAGAAAGTATGGTGAGGAACATGGAGAAGAGGGCGGGAAAGCAGGAAGAAAGAGTGGGAAGAGCGTGTGGTGAGAAAGCATACTTAGAGCTGACGAAATTTAGGGCTTCAAGGGCCTTGCAGAAGGTGGGGCTGGGCCTGCATGTTAGAGCAGAGCGGGGCAGGAGGGAAGGGGAGCAGGAGGGGGAGGAGAGAAGGGGGCGAAAGAGGGGTGGGCGGGCCGGAGAGGGCGTTGGAGGCGAGGTCTTGATGGGCCTGGCAGAAGGCGGGAAGAAAGAGTGGTAAGAGAGAGTGGTGAGAAAGCAGAATTAGAGCTGAGGAAGGTGAGGGCTTGATGGGCCTTGTAATAGGTGGGGATGGAGCCTGTGAGGCGGGGAAGGGGAGGTGAACGGAAAGTGAAGAACGGGAGAGCAGAGAGGGGCAAGAGAAGGGCAGTAGGAGGGAAGTTAGGAGAAAACTCAGACCCACAGGAATAAAGCAAGGGGAAGGGAGAGTGAAGGAGAGAGAAAGAGGGGTTGGATGAGAATGGGGGAGGGGTTACAAGGAAATGTACACGGACGGGGTAAAGGGAGTGAAGCTTAGAAGAGTGTGTTTACCAGGGTATGTAAAAGGCATGCTGGCTCGGACAGAGAAGGGAAATGGGTGGAAAGTACCCCGAAAAAAAAAGCGGACACAACTGAGGAGTGTGTGGGTGAAGTGATGTTTGGGTAAACATGATGGATGACTCTCTCTCTTCATACCGCATGGATTCCCAGCCAGCTTACATGTCAGAGTGTTTGCCCCGAGGTCCAAATAGCTAAGATAGGGTAAAGTGGTGAGACCTTGGGGAATTCCCCCTGTAAACTTGTTGAATCCCAGGTCCACATCCATGATACCCTTGGGCAGGTTCGAAAACGGCTGCAAGCTGCCCGAGAAATTGTTGTGGCTTAAAGAGAGTACGGCCAGCAAAGGATTTGTGGGCTTGAAGCAGTTGGCTGGAATGGCTCCGGTCAGGCTATTGTGCGAGAAATGGGCTATTGCAGGGCTGTTTAAACGGCATAAGATCTGCGGAAAGGAGCCCAAAAACAAATTATCTGAAACGTAGATAAATAGTAGCAACTCGCTGAAACGGATCGTGTTGAAGTTTCCAGCTAGCCTGTTCTGGCTTAAGTTAATATCTTGGGCGTTTATTTGCAGCCTGCTCAGGTCACCGGAAAGCTTGTTTTGAGACAAGCTAAGTGACGACAATTCCCTTTTCAGCAGAGCAGGTGGAATTTTCCCGGACAGCATGTTCGTGTTTGACCCTAAAAACCGAAGCTTCGGCAGCATCGCGAGGGCAGTGGGAATTTTCCCGGACAACCAATTGTATCCGAGATCCAACTCCTCCAGCGAACCCAATGCGGCGTACGCAGCAGCACATTGTGGTAACCCGCCGGAGAAGAAATTTGTCGACGCGATCAGGGTTCTAAGCTTTGGCAGGCGAAAAAAGGCGACTGGAAGAGGACCAGCGACACAATTATGATTATGGTTGAGGGTCTCGAGTTTCGTAAGCCGGGAAAGGGATCGCGGGACCACACCAGCGAGCCAGAGGTTAAACATACGAAGCTCGATGAGTTCTGTTAGCTGGCCGATAGATGCGGAGAGGATTGCGGGGAACTTTCCTCCAGGTTTGCGCGCAGTACGGCTGCAAAGGCGGGGCGTGGGTGGGCGCAAGAGAAGGCTGACGGTGCTCGCGAGGTTTAGTTTTACAACAGCGCCGTTCACGGCACATGACACGCCGGGCCACGCGCACGCATTCGGCTTGTTCGCCGGAATAGGCAGCAGCGCCGCCGTGAAGATCGCCCTGATAGCCGCCATGTCAGCCGCCGAAGCCTGCGGCGAGCCCACCTCGTATACGCGAAACCTCGTGGACATGCTGTAAGGGGAGCTGGTTCCGCCGCCCACCGATGCCGCTTCCACGCGCTCTGTAGCAGATGTATCTTCCGCGGGCGATACTTTTTCTGCAGATGTTTCTTCCGCCCTACGGGCAGCGAAAATTTGCGCCGCGGGAGGCAGAACCGTCCGTGCCGCCGCTGTAAGACCTCGTCCGCGGCGAGCAACATTCAGCTTCGATATAAGTTGCCTCGTTATGGGGCCAAAAGCCGTCGTTGGTGAGCAGTAGAGGAGTAGCAGGAGGAAGAACTTTGTGATACCAGCACGAGAGCGCAACGCCTCGTAAATAACGGTGTTCGCACGCGCGACTCGAGTGTAATCTGCGCCCGCCATGTGTGAACGGCGCGTGATTCCGAGTCAAAACGTGTGACTCCTAGTGTTACAGGGGGTTTTACTGTTCACTTTGCACAGTAACTCCCAACCCCATCCTTATCCTTATCTCTTTGGATTTCCTAGTGCCACGTGGCACTCTACTTTTCTTGCTTCAACTTTCTAGTCCCACGAAGTACTTTCCGACATTCGACCTTGCATGCTATATCATCTTTGCTTGTATCCACCAATATCAACCAATTCTCATTCAACTCTTCTTCAATTACTCAGTAACTTCTTCGCCTATTTCGCCAATAGTTCTTTCGCCAAAGTCTTCCGCCGCGTTTCATCCTCGACTTAGTCGACCCCGCTAATTCTTTAGCGGATTTAGGCCGTCGGGCCTAACACTTGGTATCAGAGCCTTCGCGGGGAGCGACTTCCAACGAGCGACCGTCGACAACGAGACTACGACGTCATCGTCCCGCGGTGCCGACTTGCAGACTTGGAGTCGTCGAGCGAACATGGACGAAACCATGCACGCTCTCCCCCACGACATGGGCAACACGCTTGCCGAACTCATGCGCCAACTTCAAGAGTTGACGTTGGAAAATCGTCAGGTACGAGCTGAAATGCAACAGCTTCGTGAATTGGCTTCTAACCCTCATGGTCATGCCGCACCAACTCTTGCGCCCAACACGTCGACTGGCGCGGAAGCGCTGCCGGAACGTCGAAGCGCGCTCAAGCCGCAGAAACCCGAGTCGTTCGACCCAAGTCAACGCGACGCGAACGTGCGGACGTGGCTCTTCATGCTGAACAACTATTTCGCCGCGAGCGGGGTGCAAGAGGCGGACGCGCAGCAGCGGATCGAGTACGCTGTTACGCTGCTGAGGGGCCCGGCCTTGGAGTGGTGGCGCCAACTTACGCAGACTGCTGTTAGAAGGGCTCAGACGGACGAGCATCAACAGGGCGTGGGGCATGCAGCTGCAACTTCGAGCTTAGGTAGTCTAGCTTTGGGTGTTACCACGGTTCCGACCACATGGGAAGGATTTGAAGCGGCGCTGAAAAGTAGGTTCGATTTGGTGAACGCCTTCGAAGCTGCTAGGTGTTATAGTCACAATAGGCTTGAATGTGCCTAAAACGAAAGATAGAGAGCACAGACGGATTTCTGCACAGCGGTTTCAAACGTTGATAGCGTTCTGCTCACAGCTGCAAATGACTTGATTCAAACTGGATCTGGAGCGTCTTCACGTCGTCTACAATTAGCAATTTAGATTGCACGATTTGATAAAGAATTGACGACACAGCGTCGGTTTGAACGAACGGTACTATGGCAGCCACTATAGTCTTAGAACACAAGATAGGAAGAGTTACGAGTTGGGAATGACTCCCAGCTCCTACAAACCCCAAGAGCCGAGGTACAGTGATGTGGAACAGTGCCACACTGTCCCCAACCACGAAGGGTCTCGAAACTATCCTTCACTAGGGCCTACACCAAGTGAAATGTTACACTACACAAAGTAATGTAACTGTCTTCAATATCTTGAGGTGTACCCTTTTTGGCGAGCTTCGAAATCACTTGAGGCTTGACACCAAGGCTCGGGCTCTTCATCACAAACTCATCCTTGAGTTCTTGATGGGTCTGCTGCACACACCTGCGACACGCCGAACGTTCGACACAGGACAAAATAGAAACCGCGCACGACAAAATAGAAACCGCGCGCGAGACACAAACGACCGCGTAACACGCGTCTAGCGATAACTCGCTATTGACTCGACACACACACTCGACATCATGACTCAACATTCACACACAATTATAAGCATGAAATATATATTATCCCATGCCCTCATACCATTCCATACACACACACATTCACGCACACGGACAACAAGCCGAGTGCAAACCGTAGGGTTGCACCAACACTAGGAAGCGTCTGCGTCATTTCCGACAGATAGGAAACGTCCAGGAGTACACACGACGGTTCTTGAGCATCTGCAACGAGATAGACGATATCACGGAAGCAGAGATGCGCGATCGCTACCTCGAGGGGTTGAAGCCGGACATAGCAGAAGTTATAGCGATTCATGGGTTGTCCACCTTCGAGTCAGTTGTCGTAGCAGCAGAACGCGTCGACGTAGTACAAAGCCGACGAGGTCGTGACGATCGCGATAGGGGATACAACAGACCGATCAACGACGCTCGATCGAGGGACGGACCATCGCCCATAAAGATTGGTGCAGTTAACAGTGACGGCTCACAGAAAACGGGATTTAGGGGGAACTGTCACTACTGCAAAAAGTCGGGACACATGAAGCGAGACTGTCCACAGCTTAAGGAGCGGTAGCAGGGAAACAGAAACCGCCAGTAGATAGCGGGTCGCTAGCTGGTGTGGAGGTTCCCATACCCGCCACGTCTACCAACGTAGAGGAGACGGCGTTGGAGCAGTCATCTACGGAGAACGAGGTAGACACTGTTGACCGACCAGTCGTGCTTCTAGGGAAGCTTCGCGGAGTTCCTGTTAAGATTCTCGTAGATAGCGGAGCTAGCCACTCGTTCGTGTCTTCATCGTTAGTCAGCCGCCTCCATCTCGAAACAGATTCCGCAGTCAACTTCAAGGATGCTCGCATGATAGATGGGACGCCTCTCCACATAGGACCGATCATTCGCAAGTTGCGCGTAGTGCTAGGACCGATCACAGTTAGGTGTGATTTCGACTCTACGACGCTGGACGGATACGATTTTATCTTCGGGAGAGATTGGCTACGCACGGTTAGTACTCAGTTCGATTGGGCTCAGGGAAGTTGCAGCGTCAAGGTAGACGGAGAGTTCCGGGAGCTGCCACAGTGGAGCGATGGGGCCACATCATCCACAGCTATCATTAATGCTGTTCGTGTGCGACAGTTAGTGAAGCGTGCGGCACGGATCTTCGCGGTTTTCCTTGAGGAGGTGGAAGCTGAGGAAGGGAAAGGAGGGAGTGCAGCAGTTGGTGCGAAGGCGGCTCTTCCTGCTGAGGTGAGTGCACTATTAGCAGAGTTCGCAGACGTCTTCCCCGACGAGTTGCCCCCAGGGTTACCTCCCAGCCGAGCAGTAGACCATCGAATAGAGTTGGAGCCGGGGAGCAGGCCAGTAGCGAAGCCGCAGTGGAGGTTGAGTCCAGCAGAGACAGAGGAGATGACGAAGCAAGTTAGGCATTTCCTAGCGCAGGGGTTCATACAGCCATCTAGATCGCCTTGGGCAGCACCGATCCTTTTCGCACCTAAGAAAGACGGAGGGTTACGGATGTGCATAGATTACCGCGCACTGAACGCCGCCACCGTCAAGAATAGGTTTCCGGTGCCGAGAGTAGAGGATCTCCTAGATGCAGTGCAGGGCGCTAGAGTTTTCTCCAAGATCGACCTTCGTTCGGGTTACCACCAGATTCGCGTAGTTCCAGAGGACCAGCACAAGACGGCGTTTCGTAGGAAGCAGGGGTTGTACGAGTTTAGGGTTCTACCGTTCGGATTGACCAACGCCTCAGCGACGTTTCAGACGCTCATGAACACTGTCCTCTCCGAGTTCCTAGGTTCGTTCGTTGTAGTTTACCTAGACGACATTATCATATTCTCCAAGACAAAAGAGGAGCACGTGCAGCACTTGCAGAAGGTCTTCGAGGTTTTACGGAGGGAGCAGCTGTACGCTAAGCAGTCGAAGTGCGAATTCTTTCTCCCTGAGGTCGAGTTCCTAGGACACGTCGTATCCGCTAGTGGCATTAGGACCGACCCGAAGAAGATCGCAGCAGTACAGGATTGGGTAGCACCGACCTCAGTCAAGGAGTTGCAGAGCTTTCTCGGATTCGCCAATTACTATCGTCGTTTCGTTCAGGGTTACGCATCGATCGCTAGTCCACTCACCGACCTACTTCGGAAGGGCGTAGAGTACGTTTGGGGTACAGCGCAGCAGCAGGCGTTCGAGCAGATGAAGCAGTCGCTCACGTCTTCACCGACATTGTCGTACCCTAATCCCACTCGCCCATACGTTGTAGTGACCGACGCTTCAGATCAGGCCATAGGAGCAGTACTTCTTCAGGACTAGGGCCGCGGGTTGCAGCCGATAGCGTACGAGTCGCGCAAGCTTAGGGGAGCCGAGCTGAACTATCCGATCCACGACAAGGAGGCGCTCGCGATCATCCATGCGTATAAGGTGTGGAGGTGCTATCTAGAGGGGGCAGATAGTGTTATACGCACGGACCATTGCTCGCTTCGCTTTCTCAAGTCGCAGCCACAGCTGAGTCGTCGCCAGGCTAGATGGATGGAGTTCATGGAGGGGAGTTTCCACTACAGGATAGAGTACAAGCCAGGCGTGCGCAACCCTGCAGATCCACTCACTCGCCCTAGTTGCCAGCTCGCTAGTCTCACAGTCACTGCCGGCCACCCACTTCTCATAGCACTCTTCGAGCACGGTTACACAGTAGATCCCAACTTCACACCGCAGCCGCCCGCAGGAGCAGAGGTGCAGGGTAGTGTCTACATACGGAAGGGTACCACACGGATTTGGGTTCCAGCCTACCGCCCTCTTCAACAGCTCCTTCTCTCAGAGGCGCACGATGTAGTTAGTGCAGGTCACTTCGGAGCAGATAAGACGGCTAAGACGCTTAGTCGCACGTACTACTGGCCCGGGCTTGCAGCGGACGTAG